TTGCTGTATTTAGTCTCGTTTCTGTAAATCTTTGTAAAGGTCTGTCAACCATTGTTTGAAGGGTTCCTTGCTGGCCTGCGAGTTCCTGCTCCAAAACGCCGCTGATGTCAATCAAAGAGATGCGAGAGGGCGGGGCCCCCTGCATCACGCCACCTATCTGGGCCACACAGGGTGAGTCCAAATTTAGTGCTAGCCTGCTAGCGAGGCGGAATGCCTCGCTGGCGGAACACCATCACTTCTACTTGGCTCTTTGCCTGTGGAAAACCAAACACGTTCTTCCTAAGAACTTGTGAAGCACCAGCTAAGCGCAGCGCTGGCGCTGAATGAGCACCAAGTTTTTTGGGGGGTGTGGAAAAGGGGTATCCTTCACCTCAGCTTGCCTGTGTGCTTTCAGGCAGGTGTGTTTATTCCTAAAACGAGGCGCCGCCCAGAACGACGGCGATGAGGATGGCCACGACCCGTTGAGCATCGCGGTGCAGCAAGCCAATGCTGACATCGTCACACTGTACGTTTTTTGGCTTTGTTTTGTTTGAAAGCCGACCCGTCTTGCAAGATTTGGGAGCGATGGAATGAATAGTGAATAGCCCCAAACCGGATTTCCATTTCTTTTATTCAACAATTAGTTGATTAATGAGTGTGTACATAATTGATTTGAACACTGGTCAACAAATGTTCACGACATTTTTTAGTCGGAGTGGTAAGTGAAATTATTAATTTTTTTTTTTTTTTTTTCGATTCGTAAAAGGCCAAAATCGCCCCACCCTACTTACAACTCGTTCTTGTGTTTGACCACTGACATCTCTCTGTTATTGACTCCTTTTCAGCTGCTGCCAAGTCGAGACGAGAGTCGTTGTTTTGTCCCGCTGAGCTGGATTCCCTTTTCTCCTACTTCCACGCAGGATCCGGACCTCGAAGTAAGTCACGTACACCGATGGCCGAGCTCGAGCGTGGAGATGGAGTGCCGGCTCCTTCTCGCCACACGTGTGGAAAAACACCCATAAAGTTTCATTTCGGGAGCACTTCATCACTGAGCTGCCACATTGCGCTCAACTGATGCGCAGATCCATGTATGTGGCGAATGCAGCAGAAACATAACAGAAATATCCCCCGACCTCACATTCACAACTTTGCCAAACAGTCCGCTGTGTGCCAGTGAGCAGAAGCGCATGTGTTTTGTGAACACAAATCTGTGCAGCCAGTAACATTGCAGCTCTGCCTACCTTTTGGCTTTTTTACGTGATTTGACTTGGACTTCTGTGTAGCCCGCTTCAAAACTGCACACGGCAGTGGTATGCACGCTTATAAAAAGTCCCTTTTACATCCTCTGTCTCCTTTGGAGTACTGCCGCGTTGCTGCTAGAAGAGCGCATGGCTGAAAAGCGCCCCTTGTGCCCTAACTCGTCCATGTTGTGGTGTTTCTTGGTCCGCCAGGCCTCAGCAGCGACAGCGGTTTAGGCACTAACTCGTCCATGTTGTGGTGTTTCTTGGTCCGCCAGGCCTCAGCAGTGACAGCGGTTTAGGCAGCACCGACGGAAGCACCGACTTTCTGATGATGGGGCCAATGGTGGACAGCGTGACGGAAGAAGGTGCGTCCTCGACTGAAATCACAGCAACTTGAACATCGGACGCATGTGACTTGATTTGACTCATCAATAACTCCTGGATGTTTTTTTCCCTCAGAATGTGAGGCATCCGAAGCCTCGAGCGGCGAGGCCGATCATGACACGTCGGACCCGGGGGACAGCGGGCACCTCCACCCCGGGGCGCTCCTGTACAGAGCAGCCAGAGCTCGCAACATCACCGTCATGGCCTAAGCGCTGGCGCACGGCGCCGACGTCAACATGGTTAATCAGGAGGACCAAGAGAAGACGCCCCTCATCCAGGCTGTGATTGGGGTGCGTACTCACTGCAACTCCGAGCGCTTGTGCGTTCGTCACCAGCTGGATGTTGAACCAAAAAATGACAAAAACAAGATGTAAACGTTTCCCACAAGGAACGGGCGGAAATTGGGAGTACCAAAGAAAAGGTTTTCAAAAAACATTTCGAATGAATCATTTCTAAAGTCAATCTCAATTATGGGGGAAGTTATTCTATTTGTGTTTAAACTATGATTTGTATTGAAGTCTAAATGGTTTGTTTACAAATTGTGGTATACATTTGAATTTGGGATTAAATGATGGAAAATCTTT